GCTCCTCCCTAGTCATTTGTCCAAGTTTCCACTTTCTGTAAGCTTCCTTTTTGTGCTTAAGTACACCAAGGATTTCCCCTGTAAGCCAATCCGGTCTCCTACCAGGTTTGCCTCTCTTGCTACGTGTCGGGATGGTTTCTTTCTGTGCCTTCAATAAGGCTTCTTTAAAATACTGCCAGCTGTCCTGGACTCCTTTCCCCTTCATGTTAACATCCCAGGGGATTCTTTCCATCAGATCTCTGAGGGAGTCAAAATCTGCTTTTTTGAAGTCCAAGGTGTGTATTTTACTACTCTCTTTTCTTCCTTTGGTCAGGATCCTGAAATCTACCATCTCATGATCACTGCTTCCCAGGTTGTCACCCACCTCTACGTCCCCTATTAGTTCCTCCCTGTTTGTGAGGAGAAGGTCAAGCTGTGCACGGCCCCTGGTCGGATCCTTCAGTACTTGTACCAAGAAGTTATCCCCAACATTCTCCAAAAACTTCCTGGATTGCCTGTGTACTGCCGTATTGGTTTCCCAACAGATGTCAGGGTGATTAAAGTCCCCCATGAGAACCAGGGCCTGCGATCTGGAAGCTTCGCTCAGTTGTTGTATACATCTGTGTGCTTTCCAATCTGACCTCTCAGTCAGTCCTCATCCTCAAAGGAAGCCTGCATAACACCTTCAAAGATAAGCCTGAGGCCTTAAATTTATAAGTCTGCTGGACACTAAATACCAAGGACTTAAGAGACAGATTCGTTGTATGAGTCATTACAACAATTTGTAACTCACTCCATTGCCTGCTAACCCTTAGTTGCCACACTTTATTATACGTGGCCTACAGCACAGGTGAACTCTTTATGGCTAACAATCTATCCTAATGTAACCCCCAAGTAGATTACCTAGATTCCTGGGGCTCTGTCTGCTGGCAGCTTAGGGAGAGGCACACTGTCCGAGGGGGAGCCAAGGCAAACTCAGAGTCTGCCCGGCAACAAATAGGGAGTGAGGTGGTGTCGCAGAGAGGGCTTTGGTTTCTTCTTCGACCATGGGACTCTGTTCCAGGCACAAGGATTGATAGGAAGAGATGGATCCACCTAACCAAGATAGCAAGGAGCATCTTCACGGGCAGGCTTGCAAACCTAGTGAGGAGGGCTTTAAACTAGGTTTGTTCGGGAACAGTGACCAAAACCCTGAGGGGAGTGGGAAAGTAGGATACCGGGAAGAAATGCAAAGAGGAAACAGCAATAAAGGAGGACCCCTGATTTGAATGGAGAAGATAGGGCGATCAACTGATTATCTGAGGTGTTTGTACACTAAAGCGAGAAGCCTGGGCAACAAACAGGAAGAACTGGAGGCCCTGGCCCAGTCCAAGAAATATGATTTAATTGGGATAACAGAGACTTGGTTGGATGACTCGCATGATTGGAGCACTGTCATGGAAGTGTATAGACTGTTCAGGAAGAACAGGCAGGAGAGAAAAGGAGGAGGAGTTGCGCTATATGTAAGAGAGCACTACGATTGCTATGAACTCCAGTATAAAGAGGGAGAAAAACCTGTTGAGAGTCTATGGGCTGAGTTTAAAGGAGCAAACAACAGCAGTGAAGACATAAGAAGTAATTCTTCAGCTTTACTCTGTATTGATTAGGCCTCATCTGGAGTACTGTGTTCAGCTCTGGGCACCACACTGCAGGTAAGATGTGGACATATTGGAGAAGGACCAGAGAAGAGCAACAAAAATTATTAAAGATGTAAAAAACATATTTTATGAACAAAGATTGCAAGAATTAGGCTTGCTTAGTGTGGAAAAGAGTAAACCCAGAGGGATATAGTAACAGCAAATAACAATGAAGTTGTTACAAGGAGGAAGAAAAATTGTTCTCCTTAACCTCTAATGATAGGACAAGAAGCAATATGAGGTTTAGGTTGGACATTAGGAAAAACTTCCTAGCTTTTCACAGTGGTTAAGCACTGAACTAAATTGCCTAGCATCCCTATGGGATTTCCACACTGGAAATTTTTAAAAGCAGGTTAGGAAACCACCTGCCAAAGATGGCCCATGGTGCTTGGTCCTTCCATGAGTGCAGAGGACTGATTTTTGTTACTTTTTCCAACAACATTTTGAATTTGGACAATGAAACACTGTTGTAGTTTCTCCCTGGGTTGGGAGTGGAGCAAATTGCCAGAAATTCTACTATATTTTATCTTTGCAACCTAACCTATTCATTGGCTCCCTGGACTCTGAAAATGAAAGTGTAAAAAATCCACTCTCCAGTGTTCATCCCTTTCTTTGGAGGGACAGCTTATGTGCTCTAATTATTCCCAAATCTGTGTCACCAGGGGCTTTTAGCTCCTGGCAGGTTCAACCATGCCAGACTGGTCTGGGTGGGAGAGACCAGACAAAAGCAAAAGCCTGGTCCTCCAGGTTGTTAGACTCAGGGCTGCAAAATGCAAAATATGTTATGGAAACAATGATGGAGAAATCAATCATTACTGTGTGTGAAGTCAATGATCCATCTAACTGTCAGAGGTGAAAGCCAAAAGGAAGCCACTGGCATGAAGACTGAAGTGCTCAACACCAAGAAAAACAAACAAACTTGGGTTTGGAACATACAGACAATGTATGAAACAGAGAAGCCAGCTCATGGCACAGCAAAGATGAGATGCTACAATTTATATCATCTGGGTGAAACCAAGAAATGATGGATGAGATCAGGAAGATTAACAAAAGCTTCAGGAGCAACTTGACTGTATTCTAGATGGGATCATGAGGGTGTTGCTATCCTTTGAAGTTACTTTATAGTGCAGGAGATAGAAGAATGAGAAAGTATGACATGTCCAAACTGTCTTCACTCCATACAACCTGCATCAGAAAAATCCTCCCTAGCTTTTGGCCCAAACCAAAATCTACTGACACAGTGCAGCCAAGAGGATAGGAGCACTATCATTTCCAGCAGGTATTGGAGATGGATTGGTCATGTGCTTTGGATAGAAACTGATTCCATCACCAGAGCAGCAATAAGATGGACACTAGAAGGGAAGCAAAAGCAAGGTTTCCTGAAAACCACATGGTGAAGAGCTACAGAAGCTGATCTGAGCAACCATTGAAAGACTTGCCAGAAACAGACTGTCAGTCCCCATAATACACGAGGTTCGAAGGGATGCCAGAAAGGATGAGAGCACAACTGGGGGTTTCAAAAAGCACAAACTAATTTTATTTTGATGGCGCCAGACAATCATCAGAACAAAAATTAAACAGATTGCCAGACAACACAAAACAATTCCCTGAGGCTTTTCTAAATCACAATAATTCCCAATAACTGCCCAGGGGTTAGGAACAGTTGAATTAACACTGGTATTGTCCATAGGGCTGATTATTTACACAACTTTATACAAGGAAACAGTAAAAAACCTAAACCACAACTATTTATAAACTAACTTAGTAACTTTTTAGCCACTGTCACTTGGCAAGCAATAAGGACAACTAAAAAATCAATTAGGATAGGGATGATGGCGGGGGTGTTAGGTTGCATTAAGAGGAGCATTGCCAGCAAATCCAGAGATATTATTATTCCCCTTTATTTGGCTCTGGTGAGGCCACATCTGGAGTATTGTGTCCAGTTCTGGGCCCCCCACTACAAAAAGGATGTGGACGCATTGGAGAGGGACCAGTGGAGGGCAACCAAAATTATTAGGGGGTTGGAGCATATAACCTATGAGGAGAGGCTGAGGGACTTGGGTCTGTTTAGTCTGCAGAAGCGAAGAGTGAGGGGGGATTTGATAGCAATCTTCAACTTCCTGAAGGGAGGTTCCAAAGAGGATGGAGAAAGGCTGTTCTCAGTAGTGACAGATGGCAGAACAAGGAGCAATGGTCTCAAGTTGTGGTGGGAGAGGTCCAGGTTGGATATTAGGAAAAACTATTTCACTAGGAGGACTTGGGTCTGTTTAGTCTGCAGAAGCGAAGAGTGAGGGGGGATTTGATAGCAATCTTCAACTTCCTGAAGGGAGGTTCCAAAGAGGATGGAGAAAGGCTGTTCTCAGTAGTGACAGATGGCAGAACAAGGAGCAATGGTCTCAAGTTGTGGTGGGAGAGGTCCAGGTTGGATATTAGGAAAAACTATTTCACTAGGAGGGTGGTGAAGCACTGGAATGGGTTACCTAGGGAAGTAGTGGAGTCTCCATCCCTTCAGGTGTTTTAGTCTTGGCTTCACAAAACCCTGGCCGTGTTGATTTATTTGGGGTTGGTCCTGCCTAGAGCAGGGGGCTGGACTTGTTGATCTTCTGAGGTCTCTTCCAGCTCTATGGTTCTATGATTCTAAGATACAAAGTTAAATAGAGCCAAAATATTTTGTTAAAATTTAAGTTTAATTGGTTAAAATCTAAGGGAAACCTAAAAATTCTACTTGACTATAACAACTAAGACAATCAGTGTCTGCAGACCAGCAAATGGTTCACCACTAGGATAGAAGTAGCTCTACAGAAAATGTGAGTGTAATTCACTATGGACCACAGTTTGAAAATTACTGCCTTAATAAATATCACATTCAAGAAAAAGGATGATTGAGATTCATGCTATTGAGGACTAATACTTAATAGAAGTTCTGCATGTGGAGGAAACAATGACCATAGAGAACCATGAATTGGCTCGTATAAGGGGGAAAATAAGTGCCATAAAGCACTTATGTGGGGTTGCTATAAAATATGTCCTGAATTAAGCTTTTGCCACCTGGGCTTAAAGCAACTTTATCTCTCACTATAGGATCATGTTCTGCGCTGATCTCTCAGTTCTCAGTTTGCAATGACTATAGGACAAGGTTCCTAAAAATGAGAAGACAGCACAACTTCATATTCACCCTAAGCCAACCCAGCACTTTAAATCTCCTGTCAATTATAATAGAGGAGATTCAGCTTGCATCCAGTTCAGTGGGTCTTCATGACTTAAAGTAAATGAAATTGCAGAATTTGGCCCATGGGCATGTAACTACACACAACAATAATCAGCAAAAGCAAATACATTTCTCACCTTGCTCCAGCAATAAGTTCCTTTTGGCCTAGGTCAAATGTTAACTGTGAGAAGTCCACAGCATTCTCTGCTCTGAATACATGTAACCAGGGAGCAATTTCTAAAGAAATAAAAAGAGATTGTTATTTGCAGAACAGGTAGTTATAGTGTATCGGGTAACACACATTACATATCAAAGGTACTGTAGGGTTTAGAGGTATTCCAGTGTTCTTCTTTTCATCACTGTGTACATAATCTGTACTACAGACCTATATAAGGGTATGTCTACACTACCACCCTAGTTCGAACTAGGGTGGTAATGTAGTCAACCGGAGTTGCAAATGAAGCCCGGGAAATTCAAATCCCGGGCTTCATTTGCAACTCCGGTTGACTACATTACCACCCTAGTTCGAACTAGGGTGGTAATGTAGTCAACCGGAGTTGCAAATGAAGCCCGGGAAATTCAAATCCCGGGCTTCATTTGCAACTCCGGTTGACTACATTACCACCCTAGTTCGAACTAGGGTGGTAATGTAGTCAACCGGAGTTGCAAATGAAGCCCGGGAAATTCAAATCCCGGGCTTCATTTGCAACTCCGGTTGACTACATTACCACCCTAGTTCGAACTAGGGTGGTAATGTAGTCAACCGGAGTTGCAAATGAAGCCCGGGAAATTCAAATCCCGGGCTTCATTTGCAACTCCGGTTGACTACATTACCACCCTAGTTCGAATAAGTGTAGACATCCCCTAACATGTTTAGCTCTGATTTACAAGCCAGATGTGCTTTTCTTCCCCAAGCACTGAACAAGACAGAGAACAACATAATGTTATCACAATTCATTAGACTGGAGGGTAACCAAATGTGAACACAACTATTTCATGTACAAATAAACCAGAAATAGCTGAAGAACATCAAAAAATAAACACAAAAAAAGTCCTCATGGGCTAAATGTATTAAACAAAAAGTCACGTCTGTTTGTTTACTTGCTTGTTTGCTTTTTAATCATTTTCAACACAAAACAAGTGGGAGTGATCAAGAAACATCACATTTAGCCAATGCATTTTTGTCGATTTTATTGTATGCTTTTCTTAGAGAAATAATGATGTAGCACAAGAAAATAGAGGCTGAAGGCCAAAGGGCTATCTTTACAATTAGAGAAGCATCAACACTCTTCGCACTCAGTTTACACGTACAGATCCAGATTTTTTTAAATGAAGCACACTATAAGCAAGTGTGCATACCTAACTAATCAATAGAAGATCTTGATGTATCAGTGCAAAACAACTATTTCTGTACATATATGACTAGTTGAGTGCCGAACTGAGTATGGACATGGATGATCTGAGCACACAGCATGCAGACACGCTATGCACACACAAAATGTTATTTATAGGCACTGATGTAAAACTAACCCTTTTTTAATAACAACAGCACAAAAGTCCTGATTTCCTCCAATCTGCAGCTTAGTGAAGCATTTTAAAAAATATTTTGAATGTAGTCACTAGGCAATGGTAGCTAAATATAAATAAAGGTCCTAGGTGTGTAGGTTTGCATAGTCTGTGCTGATATCTGTATGAGGTAAGTAGGTCTGGTGAAATCAATGTGAAGTGTCAAGGTAGTGCCTCCTGTCATTGTGAGGATATGGACACAATGGAAACTGTTATAGCAGGGATGGGCCAGATCTGGTCCCCTCGTTTGCCTTGATCAACAAGGCTCATTTTTTCCCCACCCCATAGCCTACGGGGGGCCCACAAAATGTATTGCCCCAGACTCCAGAGTAGTTAACCCAGCTCTGGAAGGAAGTACTGAGCTTCTGTGCCTCTTTCAACCTTTCCCTCCCCACAGGGCTGGAGTGTGAGAGTGCCACTAGCATCCTAAGTTGTGTGTGTGAAGCATGTCTCTCTTTTTATTTTCTCCTTCTCAGTCGGGGTCCTGTCAGTAGCAGGGAGTTGGTCATTCGCACTTGAGCCCAGGTCAGTGAGGTTTGGTGGGGTGGGGGGTGTTGTTGGTTTAGGCAAGAAGTAGGAATAAGAGATCCTCCGGAAAAGGGTTTATTTTCTGGAGAATCACGTCTAGACTGGCGCTTTTCTCCGGCTTATCCTCAAGCTGGAAAAAAGCGGCAGCCATGTTAATGCAAATGCCGCGGGGGATATTTAAATCCCCCGTGGATTTCCCTATTCCAAAGTGTCTAATCTGCATCCCTTTTCCGGAAAAGGGGTGCAGTGTAGACACAGCCCTAATGTTGCCACGTACATTTCACCATATTACTGACCAGTGAGCTATTGGTTTTTAAATAATAGCAGACAAGTCACATTTTGAGCAAAGATTTATACAGTAGTGAGTAGATTGTGAATACAGGGGTGCAGTCAGTCACCGGATAGTAAAATTTTTAAACTATCGTGTCATCCAATGACTTTTCATGTTATGTTGTCCCGTCTGTCACTGTATAGTGATAAATGCAGAGTGACCATAATTTTTAAGTTAAATCAAGAAACATTTGCAACACAGTTTTCTTCAGCAAACTGGCTTTACAAAAATAGCAGGCATTTTTCTCCATCGCTTTTTAAAACTACTGAATTTGGAATATTAATAGAAATCTGTGGGTGATACCGGTACCACATGTTCAGTAATCTCACCAGATGCAAATTAAAATATACTTTAGAACAAAAAGTTTATTTTAATAACATTGAAATAATTCAGACTAAAAATGGTAAAATAACAATTCTGTAATATTGTATAATGTCCTAAACATAACATCTACAGTTAATTTACGTGACAGCTGTGATATGTTAGTAATCTCCAAAAGAAAGAAGATGAGGTAGAATCTTCCATCATCCCTGATGCCCACGTGCTAGTCTCATTAAGACCAAAAGAATATATGAAGACAGCTTAACAAATGATAAGAGAAGTTACACCTATCCCTACATTCACTTGTACAGCAGACTTCCGATAATCTGGCACCATTGGGACCCAGGAGGTGCTGGATTACTGGATATGCCGGAGGATCAGGAGGTACTCCGGCAGGGGGGCTGTGACAGATTTCGGGGGGAGAGGGTCGGGCGGGGAACAGCGCAGCATGGGGCCAACCCTGCAGCACCCCAACCTGGCAGCCGTGGAGCCAACCTCAGCGGCTCCTTCCCCAAGTCCTCCGCTGGTCAGTTTCAGCAGCGGAGGACTTGGGGAAGCCATGGGGCAGAATAGCTAGAGTGCTGCCGGGTTGGTCCCACAGCACCACTCAGGTGAGGGGCGACGCTGCAGGACCAATCTGGCAGCACCCTAGCTGCTCTGCTCCGTTCCGCTTCCCCAGGTCCGCAGCTGGTCAGTTTCAGCAGCAGCAGCAGCGGATTTGGGGAAGCGGCGCAGAGCAGCTCCAATTGTCCGGCTGGCCGGAGCACTTCTGGGTTCCAGTTGGTGCCGGACTATCACAAGTGCCGGACCACTGGAAGCCGGACAATGTGAGTTTTACTGTACTATGTTTGGTGCAGTCTTTGCAGCATTTCTCTTTCTTTCTTAGATAGGTGCACCTACAGATTCTCTACTTTAACATTGTAGGATTTCATATTCTTCCATTTTTAAACTATGATTCAGACAGATACAGTTTTTGAGTGATATTTCTAAACCTAATCCATTTTAGTGTTGTTTTTTTTACTTTTTAAGCTTCACTTCATTAAATAAATATTTCTATAAATAACAACTACACGAAACAGTTTCATGAATATAAAAAAAGAGATATGGAGAAAGAAAAATTGCATTTGCAAAATTGGTTTTTTTGACTACTCATTTTTCGCCTTTCCTCTCCCTACCACCCACCTACTGCAGAATTCTTTCATTCCTATTTCTACTCATCAATGAATGAAACACGCTCCTATTAATAAGTTACTGATTCTCATTGTCATTGAGAAACAAGCACATTCTCTGGAGTGCAGCAGGAGAATATGACCAGATACTCTTCAGTATCTTCCAGCAAAGAAAAGGATAATGATTTTATCTCAAAACCCTACTAAATTTTATCTTTCATCCATCTCAATGTGGCTGAGGCAAGGTGTGTCGATAAGCATGCCAGATATTTTATGCTTGATTTTGGATAATACATGCTCTTTGTTGGCAATAGCTATAGTTACTCATTTATGGTATGATTTTGATCTCTGTGGAAAATGTTGAATAACTGGGAAAATTAGATATATCTTTGCATATCATATAGATCCACATGACTTATGCTTATAGTGATGCAAAGTGGGTGAGGCAATATCTTCATTAATCAATTTACACTGGTGGAAGATAAGCTTCCAGGCTTACTCACAGCTCTTGCACAAGATTTAACTTGTTTCCCAGCTTGAAGAGCTCTGTGCAACCACAAAAGTTTCTTTCTCATCAACAGAAGTTGGTCCAATAAAATTATCCCACCTTCCTTGTCTCTTTGGGTATGTCTACACTACAGCGCTAATTCGAACTAACTTAGCTAATTCGAACTAACGCATCCAAACTAAAAAACTAGTTTGAATTAGCGTTTTGCTAATTCGAACTAGCATGTCCACACTGAGTGGACCCTGAACCGGGGTTAAGGATGGCCAGAAGCAGTGCCGGCAGGGCATCAGATGAGGACATAGAGCGTGGAGCTGCTGCCTCAGGCTAGCCGAGGGTTGTGCTTAAAGGGACCAGACCCCCACCCCGGACAGACAGTTCTCAGGGGTGCCCCGCTTGCAAAGCAGTCCTGGCTTGGAGTGTCCTGAGTGCCCACACTGGGCACATCACAGCACTCGGCCATCAGACAGGCTGCACTTGCCGCAGGCTGCCATCTGGGGAGAGGGGGCAATTGGGGGGCTGCAGGAGAGCTTCCACACCCAGAAGCCCGCAGAGCCAGCCCAGTCCTCCCCATCGGGGGCTCGTACCCCATTCCTCCCTCACCTCCTTCCACTTACCCCTCCCTAGCCCCCCTTCCTGATGTACAAAATAAAGAAAACGTGTGGTCAAAAATAGAATCTCTCTTTATTGAACAAAACTCAGGGAGACTGGGAAAAGGAGGTGGGAGAGGGGAAGAGAGAGGGTGGGAGAGGGGAGGGCAACTACAATGATCAGAGGTTTGGAAGAGGTCCCATATGAAGAGAGGCTAAAGAGACTG